TGATCATCAGCAACGGGACCACGAATGGAACGAATATCATATAACAGGTGAATCAAGATTGAAAAAACCGCCCCAAAATCTCTCGAAAATGAAAGCCATTTTGACAGTTTCCTTCGATTATTGCACCAGGCGGAACTTATTGCGCGGGAAGGTGACATTTGTGTATGTTATGTGTCATTTGTCTGAAACGATTTGGCTTAAGAGGTCAGAATTATCGGCAGAAAGCTTTTCATATTCGCACAGAGCATTCTCTCCTCTTGTACATTTGGCGAAATGCTCGACGCATATCGTTCCATGACCATTTGATTCGTCTTCGATTTAATAACGTACAAGTTTTGGTTGCTTTTCGTCGATGAAAGAGATAAAAGCGGATGCAAGAAAATATTTATAGGGCCTTCGAAGAAAAAAGACTTCTCCGATCGTTTCGAAAATTATAAAAGTGTGATGGCATTAAAGGGAAGTGCTTTGAAGGCGATGAAATTGATGTGAAAGGATAACAATTTTATATATTTTATAAACAATTTCTCGGCTTTTGCATACATCGTTTATTCGCAATTTTAAGTTTTTTATATCGTTCTTAAGAGAACGTTCAAGAATGCTTGTCCCGTAAATAATGTAATTAAAAATTAAATTTCTTTATTTTTGATTATTTTTATTCCATTACTTCGTAATGTTGAAGAAAAAAATTTGAAAGATTGCAGGGAGAAGTTAAGTGAAGGGTTGTGGACCAACTCGGACGAAACGGTATAAATGCTAATTACATCAACTTTTCCATTTCATTGAATGTTTTCAATTTTTCAATATCGCTGATCGCAACAATTTTCGTCTAACAAGTAAAACAGTTATAACATCATTATAGCATTATAGTAATTATTTAAATTGTAATTGCAAATGCATAGCAAGCCAAGCCAAGCCTGTTTGCTCTTTATCAGTAAATTCGTTCTAGCTCTGCAATATCTCAAATGTGATATGTTGTAAGAAACGACAAAACACGTTTCGAGATAGCGAGAGCGAAAAAGAGAGAGAGAGAAAGGATAATTAAAATCTCTAAGATCTGTTTAAAAGTGATTGATGATCGATCGGATTGGATGGAACAATCATTCGTCCGCCATTGATGTTTGTATCAATGCGTTCGTAGAGACGAGAGAGAGAAATTCATTTATGGTTAAGACTTTGTTTTCTTTTTTAATAAATTTTTAATAAGAATTGATTGCTTTTCTTAATTTAATTTAATGCTTAACTGCAATTATAAGTATATAAGAAATATACATATATGTATATATATCTTGGTATGTAAACGTGTGTGAATTTTAATGATTTTGTGTTCTTGCTTGCTTAACTTAATACAATATAAATGTACATAAGTACACACAAGTGCATATAAGTACACACAAATTCATGCAATACGTGCGTGTACATAAGCTGAAGAGGCCCCTAATACATTTTATACGTTTCTTGCTAAATTTATTATTTTTTTGATGATGGGTTTTTGTTTCACGTGCTACCACATGCCAAGCGCCCACATGCGCACGATATATTTATTGAAAACATTGCAAGATAAAAAAAAACAAAAATAATAATAATGAAAGAAAAGATTGTCTACGTTTGTTATTTCTTTTCGTTTCCTATATATGTTATATGCTTCATATTCTTTCTAATGAAAAAAAAAAAGAAAAGTTAAATTTTTTACGTTTTTCTTTTTTGAGTTTTGTTTGGCTTCTTATTATGATTTTTTTGAATACATCGCTACATAGTGGGTGTTGTCTGCATATATATATATATATATATATATATATATATATATATATATTTTGAT